CACGTCTCACGAGCTCTACTTCTACAATACTTTCTCACTGCAGATCAATTACGAGTCCATTTCCACCTTTTCTTCTATAATACCCCCTCTTTTGATTGCCCGTTCCCATTTTAGTTGAATTTAACCTCTAACATAGGCGTAAATAGCTCCTAAATTTCGGCACTTTTTCTGTTGTATAAAAGTCTGTCAAGGAGAAAGTTACCTGGACCAGTTCAGGCATGGCGTTATGTGCCTGTAAGGAAGAGGACGACTTTTACTCAGAAGAAGAACAGGTGTGTATGCAATCACATGGTCATCGTATGTTTTAATCTTCTATCTAAAGGTACCAATATGTAGGCATAATGTAGCATGTTTGCTCAGTTATATGTAGTAGATTCAGGAGCAATATGTAGCATGTTCCTTGGAAAGGAAATTTTATCATTCTTTCTTTTCTTTCTTTATTTTGTGTAGTGCCAGTTTTATACGGAATAGTTTAGGGTTCCAATGGTTTCCTGTCATTTTTGACGGGCTTTTAACCTGGTACATAATATTGAAAAGGAACAGGACTGCCGAGAAGCTCTACTCGCTCCCCTCTCCCCCCAAGTGGCACAGCGGCATGTCTGCAGACTTATACCACATATTGTGGAGTCTTGGTCAGATCTACATGTATGTAATAATTTTGTATTGATAAGTTTATTTATTCACTCATATTTCACATCCGTGTAAAGTACACCTAATACTAATCTGTAAAAATGATAATAATGTTCTTTTTTATTCTCATTCTTGAACAATACATCATACACGTGTTCACTGGGGCGAAATTGTTAAAAATAGCTGAAAATGGGAAATTTTTTATTGACCAGTAGAGGGATTTTCAGGGAAGTGTCTTGGTAACCCTGGTTGTTATTTTAAAATGTCTGTTAATAATAATATTACGTGAGAGTTGCGTGTTAGATAGTATAATATTTAATATTGCGGTTTGAGTGTTTCAGACCTCTTGTTTAGTCGCGAAAACGTAGCCAACTCGGGTGTGTAAGTATATATTTGTGTAAGGAATGTGTTTTGTTTCATTAGTTTTACTTTTAGTATTTCTTGAAATATTGAAGGAAATTGTTTTTTTGCAATGAGTTATCAAACTCAAAGTACTACTACGTAGTAGTACTAGAGCTGCTGGCACTGGCAGTGAGTGACATTTTAATATTATGTTCTACGAATTTCACTGCGTCTGTTTTTAAGGTTTCATCTTGGGATGGGGAGGATTGCAGCACCAATTAGAGTAGAGAGACATTCAGTAGAGTTCATACCTGAGCCACGCAGCGTTGATCATATTCGGCTTTCGAAAAACACGAAAGTGTGTCCGTATGTCCGTCGTTATCAACGAACACGAACCACTTTTGGCAGGATAATGAGGAATAATATTATACAGATGTCCACCAAGTTTCATCAAAATCCAATCATTTTTGACTGAGTTATAGAGAAAAAATAGTGTGAAAAATTGTTTCCCATGTTAACAGATAGGGATATTTTGGATTTTCTTGATATTAACCATGGAAAAACTAATCACTTCTAAGTTGTGTCATAGTCCAAATGTATATCAAAGTTTGTCCAACTCTGTTCTACCTTTTTCGAGAAATCTTGCTGACAAACACACTCTTCCAGTCAGCTCAGAAAAAAATAAAATTTCATATATAGGGAATGTAATATTAAGATATCAAATGTTAAGTAATCATAAAAATATATACAATAGTAGCCTGAGCACCGTATGTGTAAATGTACTATGTACTGTACATGTAATGTTAATAAAAATCTATAGAAAAGGATCCCCAAAATCAAATTAGCCTCAGGTCCCCAAGTACAGTAAATCTGCCCCTGGATATGATAATGAATTACTTAACAAGATCCAAGGCTTGAATGAAAGATTACTTGAATACAACAAATGAGCTAGTTGGACCTGTGGGACAATTTCACTGTAAGGGTGAATTATATAGAGTTGGTATCCAATCAGTTGGGTTAGGCAGTAGGATGTTGGGGAACCTCTAAGTATAGTCATTAGAAATAGATTAGATTAAATTTGCACAATGGTAAGATTTCTTGATCTGTTGCAAGTAGTAAAGCTATTAGAATTTTAGGGTGTATTTATAGACGTTTATTGATAATCAAACATAATTATTTCTGTATAGATCAGTAGTTAGGCCTCACCTGAATTGACAGTGTACAGTTTTGGTCTCCTCATCAAAGAAAGTATATTGACTTATTGGAAAGGGTTAAGAATATTTATTAGGATAATTCAGGAGATGGAAGAGTTATTTTAAGGGATAGTTTAAGATCTTTTAACTAGATTTCTCTGGAGAAATTAAGAACAAGGAGTGATCTTATTGAAGTTTACAATATTATCCAGGGCATTGATAACATGTTTCTGTATTCTGAAGACAATAGGATGAGAGGAGATAAGTTTTAATACTTGGAATGACAGGCTGGGTTCTAGCTGAGACAGGGGATGAGTTGCTGTTGGCAAAAATAAAGGCTGGCACTTTACAGGAATTTTAAAAGGAGAAGCTTTAATTTCCTGAAGAGCAAAGGGTTGGGCTTAAGTTTTTAATTTTTTTCTCAAGGGACAGTCTTGAATGACCAAGTTGTTTCTCATTGTTCATATGTTATGTTAAAAGAGGTCTTTATGATGTTATCAACAGTCACATCCAAATCATTACTTTCTCCGTCATATACACCATCAACAATCCTTTCACATTATGAAGTCATTTGTTCATATATTTTATATCTTAGTACATAACTTTACACTTCTCTGTAACTTCTCTGTACCAAAACTAATTTTTCCGTGGCCTGGCTTAGTCTTTTATATCGATTGCAGGCTTGGGCTTAACTTTTGATGACACTAGCCAATGATTTTTAGTTATTCTTTTCCCCAGTAGTAAACTGGGGACTGCTATTTATTTTTTGGCACAAACTTTCTAACAATGCAATGCTGCTAACAAAACCATTTAGTAAAGGCCAGATGGTGTATATGTAACTGGTAGGGATGTAAGTACCATTTAAAAAAGTATTAATTTAAACTCTTCCAAATATACTGATTAACCATTTAATCCTTAATAATAGAAGTTAACAATATATATATATATATATATATACAGGTACTTTAATTCTATATGATTTTTATCATGTATTATGTTACCTTTACCAAGAATGAAAACAGACACGCCTAATACAAACTCACTTTTCAGTTTTATAAACATTTTAAATCATTTTACCCTCGAAAGGTGAAAATCCACTGCCAAGCCCTCCAGAACAAGAGACTATGGCAACTTTTTACATAAGATCCTTATTTTCTATTTTTTAGAAAATCATATTATTTCCAAAAATACAAAAACAAATCCAGTTGGAAAAAAAAAGTCACATTTCAAAGTCCTGTTTAGGTTAAGCAACAATACCACCACCAACAACAATAAAAGCTGTGTAACAACTTTACTGATGATCTTTATTAAAAACAATTTAACATATTGATGTGCTTTGATATCAGTTTTGTGTGAGCAACTAATTTACAGTAAGTTTGGCAGTGGAAAACACAAGTTCTGGAGGCATAGTAGGTCCTGGAATGTACAATTAATTCTGCCTATTTTTCAAATGTTGGAAAATGTTGTGTATTGACCTTCTACTGCTACAATGGACTGCATGTTAATAAAGTAATTCTTCAGTCCATTTTCTACTGAATTCTCATCAGTTTTTGTAGCATAAACTTCACCTAAAGGCATCTCAATTCACATGTAGTTTTTGCTACTAACTTTTGGTCAGTTCAGTTGGTTCAGCCGCAGCACTAGAAGCTGCCTCAATTTCCTTTGAAGGAGCCCGATTCAGTCTCTTGATTTGTATAATTACTATTACTTTAACAAAAATTGTTATATTAACACATCAAATCTTTATGGTGCTGCCGCATACATGGGAGCAGGGAATATCGTCAAAGCTCTGATACTCTAAGCAGACTTATTTTAGTTAACGGTTGCCTTTTCATAGACACACTGCGTTTCCTTTTGACTTTGGGTTTAGTATTGCGACTTGCAGTGCATGCTGTGTGGTATTGAACTGTTCGTTATAGTTGAAGATCCATATTTGTTTTCTAATTAAGTTGTTATTCTCTTCTGTTTTGCTGCATATTCATTATGATGTAAGCTAAATATGTTTAATTAATTAGTAGTGTTATAATGATAAGTTTGTGAACAATGATTTATAAGCATAGTGAAGTGATTTATTTTTGGGGTAGCAAACTACATTTTTGACAGAGCATTGATCTGTCTTTTTCAAACCTTTGAACTTTATAAGATGTTTTAATTTTTTCAGTTTTGATTATTAGCTTTGCTATTTAAGTACAATTTTTTTTTTACTTTATTTATAGCAGTATTTTTTGTGTTACTTTTATGATTGTAGTGAAGTAAGCATAGCAAATTATATTGATAATTTTTCACTAATTTGCTATGAATAATTACCTTTAAATACCTATAGAATGATAGGATTCTTTTTTGTGAGTGTAAAACACTTAAATACACCATTTAATAATGTTTCACTTATATTCAAATTGGATTCATGTAATAGTCTAATTTACAGCATATGTTGTAAAATTATTATTTAAATTACAGGGATATTAGATTTTTAAAGTTAAAAAAGACAAATATTATTCAAGATTATTAAATATTTCACTTGAAAACTCAGAGAAAGCACATAAACTTTTAGTTTTCACAAAGTTACTATTCAACAGTATACAATTCTGATAACCAACTGTATCCATAAAAAACTGGCTTGGTTGTTTGGAGAAGAAAAACAAGTTTTGAAAACTAATTAAGAATAATGTAAAGAATTTTGTACTGAAATAACAACCCAATTTTAATGCTTATTTAAAGCTTAAATCAATGTTAATTTATACTCATTTTAAGGATTAGTTACAACTATCATAAGATTTTATACTATATATGTCCACCTTTGGGGACTAGATAAAACTAAATAAGATATTTTTATACCTCTAACACAATAATTGCATCACACATACCAATAAAATAGTATTTAGATGTGTTTTTTTTTATTATATCATTTTTTAAATAAAATAAATAATGTTATATATTTCAGTTTAGATTATTGGAAGCAAGTATTATAGGTGTTCACTAAAAAAGCATGACATCCAATGCTTTGGGATTAGAAAATTTACAGACCAAGAAAGAAGTTGATAATGTAATCAAACAAACTGAAGACAAAGTTCTAGTCCTCCGGTTTGGTAAAGAAAATGACCAGTCATGTTTAGCTCTGGATCATATTGTAAGTTGAATCATAACATGTATCTTAACTGTTTCATGTACAGTGACATGTAAAATTCTTCCTTTCAACAGCCTTGTATTTAATCCAAGTATATAACAAGTAATGGGCACACAGTCGTAAACACGGTACTTTTACCACATGCAAATCTTTTAGGATTGTTCATATATATGAGTACATACTAAAATGTGTACATGTAAACTGGTCAGTTTGGTATATAGGCTTATGGTTGAAGTAGCTTTTGTGTTTATATTTAGTTGTTTTTTTTTCTGATTTAAGGTGTATGATTTGTTTGTTTATTTATGATTCATACATCTATATTTTTGAATTGTAAAATAATATTGTCCTAATTTATTCATATGTGTGTTTTATTGAAATCGATGCATAATAATAGTTTTTTATGAATAATTTTAAATGTTTGTAAGTAAACAAAAAAGCTATTTAATCTATTTCACTTCCACATGCAAACTCATGAGGAATGGAACCATCTCTAGCTGTACCAACACGTTTGGTAATTTAAGGATGTCAAGGTCAGAAATTTCTGCAGCCATCCAGATGGAGTTTAGAAATTATCGGTAAGTGAGTTTGGGGACCTTCCAAGAGAAAAGATCACAGGTAGAATATGTGTTTAAGACCTCCTAATCATAACCAAATCTACATGTACTCTGGGTAATATGTTGAAGAAATGACTGGAATATTGGCTGGTTGCCCAAAATTAATTGATCAATGAAAATTTTGGTAACTGTTATAAGACAAAATCACATATCTGGCAATAATTCCGTTACCCAGGGCTTTATTGAAAGTTTGGGTCATATGCATTACATATGACCTGATGATGACAAAACCTTGTCGAAATGTTGTACATTTGCTGTTATGTTAAACTTATATTAAAGTTTTTTTCATTACCCATTCAAGCCGTCTCCAGCCATTATTAGTCTCAAAGTGGGTTCCTCGTCATCGAATCTCGATAGATAGTTCGGGCTATGTGTTATGTTTACATGATGGTAAAGAAAATGTAAATAATATATATGTACTACATCATGTTTAAGCTAACTATTGTTTTCCTTTTTTTCATAACTATTATTGGGGTGTGACCTGTTTTAATGAATGTTCTGAAATTAGTAAACAGGTGGACAGACAGAGAGAATAATGTATGTTTTGTGGTCACTTGTGGGGTCAGCAAATAGCTTGGGAAATAAAAAAAACTGAAAAAAAAAAGAAATTGTAAAAGACACAAAACATTCGGGATATTTTTTACCTGTATATTTTGATAAAGATCTAACCTTCTTTTTGTTGTTGTTGTTGTTGTTGTGTGAACGAAAGAAAATACTTTATTACGTGATCTTTGTTTATACACCAGCGATCACTTTGGGATTCATCACGTGAAACGTTTATTTTGTATGTTCCTCCGAAAGATGTTGGTTTAATATTTTTATTTTTTTAGATACTTTTTTTTTTTTTTTTTTTTGCAAATGCACGAGGATTACCAT